TTGGGGCAGGAATATTGAGCAGGTTTGAGTTAGCAGACTAGAGGGAATGGGCAGGGAAATTGGAACACAAGAGACCAGAGAGGTTGTGTGGGGAAGAGTGTGGAGCCAGTTTTAAAGTTAGAATGGCGATCCTAAAGTTAATCTGTTTAGGAACAGGGAGCCATTGGATCCTATTGATGATGGGGTAATTGGTTTACAGAGCCTGGTATGGTAAAGGGTATAGTCTGAAGTCGTTGGGATGATCTGTCGCTTGTGGAGTAGTTGAGCTGTGAAGACCAGCGAGTAGGGCATGGAGAAATCAAGTTGACGTTCAGTTGATAGAACTTGAGCTTGATTCAGGACTTGATATGTGTCCTTCTCCATTCCCCAGTTCCCTGTTTCTGAAGCAGATTCAATTCAAGATCCTTATCACTTTCAAATGACTGCGTGACCACGTTCCTAGCTACCCCTGTGACCCTATTGTCCTGGCGACACCTTTTGCCCTGGCACCTCCCTCCACTTGGCAAACTGTAGCCTGCTTCTTGTCCCGTGGCCGATCCGTTGCTCTTGGTATCCCCCTATCTCTCTAGCCTCCTCTCTCCCCATAGCAGTACCCGCTGCCTCAGCTCTACTGAGTCCGGCCTCTTCCGTGTCCCCCGAATCCTCCCCTTCACCATCGGTAGCTGTGCATTCAGTCACTACGCCCCAAAACTTTGGAACTCTCTCCCTCAATCCCTTCCCCTCACCCCCTCCTTCACCATCTTCAGGTCGCACCTGAAGACCTTTTATTTTCAATCACGCCTACGGTCACCTTTCCTCTCCCCCCAGGCTCAGCCTTGGGCTCTACAATTGTTAAGTGCTCTGAGACGCCGCCACTATATAAGTGCAAGTTTTTGTTGTTATTGATGGGTTCACCATTCTTTCCCCGCTTGCTGGAACTCCATCTCTGAGACCCTCACCCTTGTCCTCTCCCTCCTTCAAAACTCTGTTAGGACCTATCTTCATTTTAATACCTTAGATAGGGTGGGGATATTAGAGATGGAAAGATAACTGGAGAGTTTAGCAGGATCGAGAGTTTTTTTGAGAAGAAGATTGTGATAGCAATTTTCAAAGAGGGCATATCATTACTAATACCAGTGATTGCATCTTTAACTTTCTGTAATCATGGTTGTTTGTGAGATGTTGCTGTGGACAGATGGGCTGCTGTGTTCACCTACAAATACATAGTCACTCCACAGTAAATCCTGTGAGCTACTTTGAGACTTTTCCTGATGTGAAAGGCGCTATATTGAATTCAAGTATTATTATTATTAGTTACATCTCTAAATCTGCCGTTGTTTGCAAATTTAATTCACTGCGTTAATTGCACTCAGCCCCTGTCATTAATTGTACTTTTAATCCACTAACATTTTAGGTTGGTCATCATAGGGTCAATGTGTGGGTTGCACAGTAATTCTAAGGCCTCTGTTGCACACAGACGATTTTCTTATTGTTTTTGTTTTATTCCTGCAAAGTTATTAAATAACCTCTGAATTTGCAAGGCAAAAATGGACGTTGTGTCATAATGGTCCTGGATCTATGTAGTGTTTTTATAGCCTTGTAAAAGCTGAAATTTCTGTGTTTATTACTTAAATATATTAACACAGACTTTTCACGACTGGAGTCCAGTTTATAATGAAAAAAGGCATCCTAATTGCAGTGCATTTAAATAGAAGTGTGAGAGATGGGGATGGGGCACAGTAATAGGGTTGAGGCCCCAGGAGTGTGTGTGGAGCAGAGTACTGAAATGAGTGGGAATGGAGCTTTGGAATAGAAGTGGGGCACTTTATAAAGTTCTAGCCAGACAGTGTTCTCAATGGCTTTGCGGTTTCAGTTGATTAAACTCTAGCGCATACTCTGAGGTCCCCGAGCCTCAGCTCTTGCCAACCTATACCTAAAGCTTTCCGGAATTAGGTAAACAAGGTGCATCCCTCTAGGGAGAGTGTGTGCATTCCAATCCAGACACGGTGGCATTTCCATATGTAAGTGGCAACTCTGTCTGGCTTGGTTTAAGCGCAGTGGTGGCTTTGCTCATGTGTCAGACACCCAACCGCACCCCCCCAACATTTTTTTTAGATATTATACATGCTTTTAAAAGAAGGCATTGAGATCAACGAGTGCGGGAAGTGAACGACTGCACTCTTGATGTGTACAGGACACCTACATAGGTTGTAAATGAGAAACCCAGACTCAGAGATGTAAACATCAGGCAAACAGCAGGAATGAGATTTGAAATCTGTAAAAGTCGTACACGCCAATTGAATATACATCACGATGAGTGACATTTAAACTAAATGATGATTCTCATTCCTATAGAGCAGCACTTTGGAAAGTCTGTGACCTCTTGCACTCAGACTGCATCCTTTCCAACAGGAGACTGGACGTATTGTCTGACTTCACTCCAATTGCCATAGGTAAAAGGAGAAATGTGTCTCTGTGACGGAGCCTTTGAATGCCAAGCTGGTTGTGGGTGGGTTTCCTAATCATAGACTCGTATTCAAACACATATGCTCGCAAGCTGCTCAAATGGACTTCCCTGTTTTTTCATTTAGCTGCATGTAGTTTTCAAAAAGGAAATTCAGCGAAATGGTTTGGCAGAATGAAAAGAGAATCTGTGAAGGAAAATGCTGCTCAATGTAGCACACATTCCAGCTGCTTTTCTTCTAACAATAGACTTAAAGCAAGATTTAGGAAAAGTATTTCAATCCGCAACCTGGGGCTGAAATTCCACAAGTCCTATTTTCAGTGTTAATGGTGCAGAATTTTGTTTAGCGTCTGAGGTGAGACGCAAGGCAATTCAACTCACAGAGGGAGAGAGAGAGAGCTCTTAAGTTCTGTCAGAGCAAAGCCAAGATAATCAGTAAGTGTGAAGTGTTTTAAGTCTACCTATAGGTTTTCACTGACATCTGTTCAGATCTTCTGCAGTGACACATTTAATGTATCTATGGTTGTTTAAACTTGGTTGGTAGGAGATCTGCTTAAACATGCGATGTTTGGCACTGATTGCTGCACTCCCTGGACATGAAAGAAAAATAAAGAATTTGTCTGAAAAGAAACATTATTTGTTGCTGAAGCCATTGAAGTCGTCAAATGCGGCTACTTGCACTGCAATTTATTGCTTTAATTTAGTTCTAAATTGAAATAATTTTAGTTTGCAAGGCAATTCCCTAAGTATGTGCTGTGGTTCCCTGCCTATGTGAAGAACATAGAACAACCTTTTAGGCAGTAAATGCCAGTCTCTCCCGCAGTGTTGGTTCCTGCTGTGGCCCAAAGCCCTGAATTTGCTGTGTTGTGTCTTATTCGCCATTTGACTGCTTTGGTTGTTTTCATGTTTGTTATGTTGGTTAAAGGATACGATGGAAGTAATTTACTCATCATTTAATCATCAAAAATCAAACCATTAAATTTAATTAAAAATGTAATTAAAAATCAAGCCAATACATTTTGCCCACAAAACACACAGTCCACACCCACAAAACTCCCAAAACACACGTTTTACAGTATCTTCTGTGAAGCCTTTTGAGATGTCTCAATGACGTGATAAGGCGCTGTATCAAATGCAAGGATTTTTTAAATTATGTTGCCTTAAGAATCATTAAGAATCATTTTAAAAAAAGTCATTACAATTTACACACTAAAAATGGATCTGTGGAAAGGTTGGTGAAATGGGAATAAACATTTTTACAGCTTTCAATTACAATTTCAAAGTACATTTGTGAGATTTAATTGATTAAAGCAATGCAATGAATTTGGATTTATAGGGACCTTGATTATGTTCCCAAACTATCGTGTTCACCACATTTGGTGTAAATACCTTCTCAGACTCCTCGACCCCAATAGAGTAATTATTTACTCTCATCTTTAATATGAGATGTAAACCAAGTTCCCGTTTGTTCAAGTGGACATTAAAGATCCCATGGCACTGTTCGAAAGGAGAAGGGAGTTTTTCCTGGTGTCCTGGCTGTCGACCACTAGGTCAAAAAAAAATCCGTTCATTTCATGAACTGTTTGTGGGATGTTGCTGAGTGCAAATTGCTGTTATGGTTGCCCACACAACACTGTCACTACGTTTTATAGTAAATCTTTTAAAGCATTTTGAGTAATTTTGTTTCAAATTCAAGTGTATATTATTGCTTACACTAAGCTCTCACGTCGCCCCAGGAGTTGATAACCTCACTCGCAAGCTACTATTGTGGATGTGAAATGGGCTATACAAATGTAGTTTTGTTGTTGTTGTTGTCTTTTGAACACTGGGTGTCAGTGCTACAGAAAGGATACATGTGTCTGGACCAGCTGTTGCAGGACTGAGCTGCTTTCATTAGTTAATTGCAGCACATTTACACGCTCACAAGTTATTAGAATTTTTTTAAAAAAATTCCATTAATTCAATTACACTACTTACAATTACGAACCCCTAAATTGCACGGGGTTCCCTTCACTCAGCGTGATCTTAAAAACACTGCTCGTCAGGCTGTCAGTGTCAGGAACCTGTGTGAGGCCCTCTTCATTCACAAAGAGGCAGATGTAAATAATGGATACATTCACTTTGTGGATAATAGGCAACAGCAGAGAGAGAGCATATCATTGTCGAGACTTTGTCAATCCCATTATTTCAAGCTTGATACTGTAAGTCGGTAGAGTGAGTATTCAGGAAGGATGAGATCGAATAGCCCAAGAGGTCTGGCTGGGGTTGAACATCTTTTGGTTCTTTGTGAAATGGATGAGGCATTTTTTTTCTCTCAGTGTTTAACAGGTTGCACAGTGGAATGAGGTGGGCTGGTACTGAATACCTGCACCGTGACTTAGCACAAATAAGTGGTTTTAGCTTGTTCCTTTCCGGCAGTTGGGTTACAAGCTGCAAAGCTAAAGTATGATTCATAGTTAAGTCGGTGCTAAAGTTAAATGTTGTAACAAGCAAATTTCTTTTTTTCTTTCCCCCCCCGCCCCCCCCCCACTTCCACCCCACACACACACACGCACAGAACGTTGGCTGTGACGAATACCTGGGCTCTGACAAAGTAGTGGATAAATGCGGAATGTGTGGAGGGGACAACACGAGTTGCAAGGTTGTATCTGGTATCTTCAAAGACAGCCTGTCAAGTGTCGGATATCACAAAATCATAGAGATCCCCGAAGGAGCAACAAAAATCAATGTAACTGAAATGGCAAAGAGCAGGAATTACCTGGGTGAGTACTCATTGCACAACGGCAGATCTCTAAGAATGTTTCTTCTTATAAGAGGCAGATTAGAAGTATTGACTGAAATGCATTTAATGTGTTGATAGCTGGCAATTGAGTCTGTGAATTACTAACTGAAACTTGAGTTTAGTTTCTCTCCGTCTATTAAGCTGCATTTCTCGTTATCTCACCATATTTCATGCTCTGAATTTGGGGTTAATTAAATTCCTATGTCACAGAACTATCTAAACCTATCGATGGAGAATTTAGTCATGGTTTCATCCTGGAAAAGAGTTGATATTGATGTGTGTTTGCACACTGGATTGCATTATGCCCACATCAGTCCTGTGGTTCTCACAGATCAATGAGTGCAGGGCTGTTGAAGACTCATTTAAAAAAAACATTTAATACCAACTTAATGGGAGACACTGTTGAATCAGAGGAAACTTTGTACCCCATCGGTCTGAGCTAGATTCAAACCTAGGTCCCAGAGGGGAGTGTGTATAAATCACTGCATTACCTATTGCTCCCCCTCCCACCGTACGCATATCTGTCACTCTTTGCTGCAGAGGGCTTTTGCTGAGAGTTTTGACAATTGACTCCTTTACTTTTGAAGCCCTGCGATGTCGGTCTGGACGATCTGTCATCAACGGCAACTGGGCCATCGATCGTCCTGGCAAATATGAAGGTGGAGGCACCATGTTCACTTACAAAAGACCCAATGAGATCAGGAGCACTGCAGGAGAATCCTTTTCTGCCGAGGGACCAACAAATGAAGCCCTGGATGTTTTTGTACGATTTTACTTTGACTTTTCTAGTGTGTGTGTTACTTAACATTACTGTTGTTCTCCAAATGCAGAAAGCAATCAATGAGTGAGGCAATAGGACAAGGTCTAGAATGTAACACTAAGCAAGTGCAGTTATACAGAGTATTGGTCATTTGGATTATTGTCGTGATATACTTGCAGCCTTGAAGCATGGTTCCATGATTCACCAGATTAGTACCTAGGATGGAGGGGTTTAGTTGTCATAAGAGATTTATATTCCTTAGATTTGTGGAGATTAAAAGGTGATTTGATTGAGCAGTTCAAAATAATGAAGGTAATTGACAGGCTAGATCTTGAGGACTCTGTCCAAAACTTTCCTATCAGACTAACATGGGGAAGAAGACTTATCTTTTGTTTTTCTTTTCACAGATGATCTATCAACAATCCAATCCTGGTGTTCAATATGAGTACATCCTTCCCAATGTTAATGTGGTCAGCCCTTTGCTACCTCCCAGCATAAGACCTGGTAAGACTGAAACCTTCCAGCACCTAACGTGATCAGTGAAGCATCACGGAGCTTCTTTCACTTGTGTGAAAAACTCATTCCTCTTAAAGTGATGGGTGAGTGAAGCAGGAGATTCCTGCTGCCAATGGAAGAACCTCAATAATTACTGTATCTAATATTTATCTGGACTTAGATATTCAATTAGTCAGTAACCCAATAAATGGAAATGTGTGGAAATTGAAAGATTCAACCTCTCAGCTGCTGCTCAAACTCCGCACCTCTAACTGGTAGTACCATCACTCAGTGGGAAGGGATGTGTGTCTGAGTTGTGGGCAGGAAGATGGCTCTCACACCTTTCGTGAGCTGTGTTGCCCACCAGGAAGCTTGCAGGGACCTTGATCTAATAAAGCAAGATCTAATAAACCAGTGGAACGGGCTTGATGTACTGAATGACCTCCTCCTGAGCACACAGAATATTTTCACTAGAGTGTTGGTTAATAAAACATTTGCCTCTTCAGCTTCTCTATGTTGTGGCCATGAAATCCCAGCTTTTCTGGGAAATTGTGTGGCTTCACATAATGACACAAAGGACAGATTGCATTAATTTATTTTGATTTGCATTATATCATCATGTGCCTCCACAGCAAACAAATGAGAACAACATGTTAATGATAGTTTGTTTTCTTGGGTTCCCCAAGTGACACTAAGCCTTATATAGTTTATGTGAAGAAAAACACCAGAAGAGGCTTAATGGGTCGATTAGCCTGCCTCCGCTATAAATTCTACGAGACCCTCAGGAAGGTCCCAGATCAGCACTTAATTTTCTCCGTTGGTCTGACGGTAGAGCCCTGAGTTTGCTTCCATCGCCCTGGGCTAAGCAGGGAAAAAACAGTTGGAGTCCACCTTTTGTTCGCTATCCAGCAAACTTATGGAAAGTGCAGGTTTGTAGTACTGGGTGAGGAATACTGCCTTGGGAGACGATGGAAGCAGAAAGTGTTGATTCTTTCAAGAAGAAATTAGATAGATTTTGGTTAGGAAATAATAAACCGGCATACAGTTTATAGTTTGCGACATGACGTAAGCAAGTGACTGCCGGGATGGTGGAAGGCGAAACAGGATGGACCTTGGTCTTCTTTTGCCTAGCAATTCTTATGTTCTTATATGTTCTTGTGAAGCATCCTGGGCAGCTGGGATAATCACCCGCTTCAGACAGTCTATTCCATGAGCCAATACGGTTATGTTGGACTTGGAGTTTTATTGAAAGTCTTCACATGTTGCCAAAGGGTGCTTACACAACAGCACTTCACTCAGGTAAAGGCAGCCTGGCCTGTTGTAGGCATATCTTCCCTGTGAATTCCAGGAGGGAATAATGATTGACCACCATTTAAGGACCTGCCTTCAGGTGCATTTCACTTGACTTTTACAGCCAAGCTAAGAAGGAAACAGTCTTGGTTGAACATTTGAGGAGGGAATAAAACAGGTTCTTTTGCTTGCTGCAGTTGAGGGATAATATTTTAGTTTGATTGCTCCTGTTAAAAATGGAAAAAAACTTCATTGCTGTGTGGAGCATATTTTGGAGGAAATGCAGATCAAAATAGCCTGGCGTATCTCATTATCTATACCCTTAGCCTTACACGTGGAGGTTAATGTAAGTTATTGGGTTGATTAGATTCTTTACTTTGCGTTTTGTTACAAGGAGAACCGTTGAACGGCCAATTGGATGTCACAGAGAACTATCCAGGTTATGAGAATGGACATTTCCAGCCTGGAAGAGGTCCTCCCCCAGAGCAACCAACTCGCCGAGAATACAACTGGAAACAGGTTGGGACAACGGAATGTTCGGCAACTTGCGGCAGAGGTAAAGAACATTAGCTTACTTGTGCAGCATCTTTCACGTAAGATAACCGCCTTGTAAAGCTTCACTAAAGCAATGGAGGACACCGAGCAGAAAGGACTGAGTAGAAACTAGGTGGTGTTGGCCCAAACCACAGTAAAAGATGTGTTTTAAAAGCAAAGGAACGCACAAGGTGAAGGGATTTTGAGGGCGTCCAAGAGAGTGGGGATCTTGTAGCTAAAAAATGCAGCCACTGACGGTGGAAATGTAATGAGGAATAAGCAAACCAGAGTTGAAAGCACAGTGAGCATGGGCAGAAGAATAAGGCTGAAGGAGATTAAGCTTGCATTTGATATAAGACCTTATCACATCAAAACATCTTTCCTTGCAAACAATATATTTTGTACGGTGTAGTGACTGAATTTGTATGCAAAGGCAGCAATTAAATATGTACAAAGCAATGTTCCACAAACAGTCATGAAGTAAATGTCTGTTTTTAAAAAATATATATATTTGGGAGGTTATTGTCCAGAGGTAAAGAACATTAGCTCACTTGTGCAGCATCTTTCATGTAAGATAACTGCCTTGAAAACTCCTTTCTCTTTTTGAATGGTTCTGCAGGACCTTTAACGTCCATCTGAACAGGCAGACGGGACTTCAGTTAAACAAATCATCTGAAGGATGATACCTCCGACAATGCAGCATTCCCCCAACACTGCAATGAAGTGTCAACTTAGACTGTCAGCTCAAAATCCTGATGTGGGGCTTGAACCAATATATTGAATATCTTTGTATTGAAGTCATTGAGACAGGTGGGAGTGGAACCAAGAGAGAGCCACTTTGGTGGTCAAATAAGAGAAAAAATGAAGGAGAATGGGAAGGTTAAAAGCATTAAAGGGAGTAGAGAGACTGAGGGAGGACAAGTACTGTAAATCACACACTGTGGGATGCAAGGAAACCAAGCCTAGACTGATCTGAGAAACCTGGATCACAGATTTTAATACTCCTTCACCAGATGATGACTTAAAACTAAAATTAAACATTTTTTTAAAGTCGCAGCTAGGATTAAAACATTTATATAAACACGCACAACCGCCAGGTTAAAATAAAGATTGCTTCAAATCAGCAGGAGTGAAATGCAATTCTCCACCCGTCTGAGGGGCATTCAGCCACAAAGCAATGTATATTTTTTGTAAACGTCTGGTTTATATAAGTCTGTTTGGTACTTACTGCTGGTTCTCACTGCTGTTTCAGGCTCGCGTTACACAGTCTTTCGCTGTGTGAACAGAAACAGCCACCAGGAGGTTTCAGATGGTCTGTGTGACGCTAGTATGAAGCCAAGCTCTGAAGAAGAGGCCTGTAACATCAATGCCTGTCCAGCCTTGTAAGAAAACTAACTTGTGCTTTTTTTTACACACTATTTCCCCCCCCATTCCTTCTGTGGCTATCCTCTATGATGTGTTTGATTGTCAGTTTGCTTCTCTCTCTCTGTTGGTAGTTGGGACATTGGCGAATGGTCGGAGTGCAGTAAAACCTGCGGCCTGGGGATGCAGCACCGGCAGATTCTTTGCCGACAGGTCTATGCAAACCGCACCATAGCCGTGCAGCCACATCGCTGCCAACACCTGGAGAAACCGGAAACCACCACCACCTGTCAAATGAAGATCTGCAGCGAGTGGCAGATTAGGTCAGAATGGAGCTCAGTAAGTGTCCCCGGAGGAAAGATGAATAATTTCACAAGAAATGTTCGCGTGAAGAAGAGCCTTTGCCCATTTCATCTCATCCTTTCCAGAATACCCACCTTCCTGTCCTCTTGTTACATCATCATGCTGTTTCTTAAATGAGTCCAGCATCCTGTCCGCAGCCATCCTAGCTGGTAACCCATTTCAGGGTAAAAATAGTTACTGGTGGCTCTCCTGAAATTATCCTTTACAACCCTGAAGCTGTGCCCACTTGGAGTGTCTGAAAAGATTGCTCTGGGATTATCTTCTCAATCATATTTAGAAACTTCGGTACCTCTAAAGTTCCCTCAAAGATATTTATTTTCAAGATCAGTGAACCCCCACTTTATCTAATTGTTCTTCGAGTCTAAAATGAACTGATTTGGCAGTAGAACCAGGCACCTTTTGTCTTGTTTATTGCTGCCTCAACACCGTTTGACATGATTACCAACGATGAGTAACTTAAATGCCCCTAGGTATTGTTCAGCTCCTTGTTTCCTATGTGTAGTACAGTACCTTGTATTATCTGTGTTGAACTTCATTGCCAGTGATCCGCTGAGGATTGTATCCTCTTTCTGAGTATCAAGCTCTCTTTGTAAGAGCTTGGCTGCCTCCTCTTATTCCACTTACTCTGTAACTCTGTGCAAGGTAATTAAATTGTCAGGTAACACTGAGTCTGTGAATTCAGGTCATTAATTGTGCTGGGATGCCAATAGATCACACTTTGTGTTGGTCAGTCTCAGAGAGCATTGATTATTTATGCTTCTTCATCAGAGAGGGACCTAAAAATAAATCTAACCATACAACCAAAATGCTTTTAAAAGACGTTCTTGCGGCTAGGATTCACTGGAGATTGAAACAGAGTTGGTGCCAAGTCAGCATGGGGGGAAATCTGACTCTGTGGGAGTTGGAGGGGTATTCAGGCCCAAACCTGTTAAATAAAAGACAAAACAGACATTCTGCTCTTTGATAATTACCACATCACATACTGCAACCCCGCCCCCCAGCATGTGCAGGTACCGAGCACATAAGCTTTCTGTTCTGAACACAGGACAAAAGGAGTGCAGAAGCAATTCTAAAATGAGAGAAACCGGTTGCAACAGCTGCTTAAAGGCACGTGTCTGAAACCAAATAAACTGCTGGAGATTTATTATTCTTTTTGCCCTTTAATTTTGCCTTCCCAGGTTTTGCGACGAGTGAGGATTGGCATGTAGTGCATGCAATGCAACGTGTTGACAACTGAATAGAGAATGTTTCATACAGTCGAGCTCTGTTTCGCTGAGAAGCACAGCCAGTGATGCCTGAGACTTTTTTTCACAAATTTTCTCCTCTCCTTGCTCATTTTTTGATGGTGTTTGACTCCTTTTTTGGCTTCTCCTGGGGTACGTTTCCATGTGCCCTGTGTTTTCTGGTACCTCACTGAAATGACCGTTGCTCATGTGTGAGTGGCTGCCAGGGTCTTCTAGCCCAAATCCCAGCCTTCCCTGATGTCCACACATGTACCTTCCAACAGTGGGTCTCTGAATTAGAAGCATGGCTCCCTTAGCCTTCAACCCACCATCCTTCTGGTCTGTATAACTTAGCGCTGCGTCGAGTGTCAGATCAGGAAATTATTTTCATGCTTCTTGCTCATTTCTGTAAAAAAAAGTTTGTATCTGGGATTCACTGCTGCAGAAAGCCTTTCTATACCCACTAGTTTCAATCACGTTGTACAACAGATTTTGATGTATTAAGCCCATTGAATGGAACAATAATTTAATTGTTTCCCACATGATTTATTTCACCTAATAGTGCTCGGTACCTTGTGGAATTGGCCAGAGAAGCAGAGACGTGAAGTGTGTGAGCAATCTGGGTGATATCGTGGACGATGAGGAGTGCAATATGAAACTACGGCCCGATGACTTTGAAAACTGTGACATGGGAACGTGTGCTAAGAGCTGGTTCTTCAGTGATTGGAGTGACCGGGTAAGACTAATCTTTACAGTCAATGTAAGCTATTGTTGAGCTGTAAATTCATACAATGATTTGAAAGATAATTATTTTTGAGTGCCAGCACAACAATTAAAGTCTATTTCCAGACATAAACCAGATGTGAGGAATGGAAAATTGTAAGTCGCAAATCATTTTAATGTCAGTCTGGCTTTTGAAACTGGTGCGGGGAGAAATTCCACCTGGGACCGAATTTGCACTATTTATGTAGCATTTTAGAGTGTCCAGAACGTGGCAAATTGTAGAATTCAGATTTAACTTTGTAGCTTTTTTTTTGTGTCATTTTCTTCAACTTCTCTGAATGCCAGCCTGCCCTAGCCACGCTCACGTGATTCGTTGAACTCAACAGCCTGTGCCTGGTCTCAAGCGATATTTCAGTCCCACGTCACTGTTTGTGCGGTGACTGTTCCTCAGGGAAGCAATTTTGTCTGCTGAGCTGCACACGCACATTACTGCCCCGGCATAGAAATGTTCTCTGTCAGGAATGAGAATAAGGGATAAATAAAAGACTCACTATTGGGATTGCTATTGCAACAACACTTCATCAGTCACGTAGCGTAATGGTTAGTACCCTCTCCTCGCAAGCGAGAGGACACGGGTTTGATTCCCAGGTGAGGTGAAACCTGAGCCAAGTTTCCTTACTCCACACGCCTCTGTTTACCTAGCAGTAAGTAGGAACCTGGTTGTTAGTCGATTGATGGATCGCTTTCCTGGGTAATAATTCCTCCAAAAAAAAATTGGTCACTCAATCCCTGACTGTTTGTGGGATACTGCTGTGCACAATTGGCTGCCACAATTCGCCAACAAGATATACAGTCAATTCACTTTACAATCTATTCTGTGAAGCGCTTTGAGATGTCTCAACGACTTGATAAAGCGCTATATTAAATGCAAGGATTATTATTATCAGTAGGGTAAAGCTAATCTATGCCATGACAGTTTTTAGCCAGTCCATGTTCCTTATTAACAATTCAACGCTTAGTGCATTCACTGCTTTGCAGGAGTTCTATAGAAATCTACGATGCATCGGAGACTCATTGTAATAGTAATTGTGGTTACGCTTCCAGTGAAGCTACCTATCCTTGTTCAACTAGGTACAGGAATCTTAAGGAATTGGATTCATTTTAAAATAATCATCCTTGAATTTAATATAGCCGCTTTCCCGTCGAGAAGATGTCTTAAAGTGCTTCACAGGATTTCACTGTAAAGTGTAGTGAGACAAACCCTCAAAACAAAAGTCATCTGAAGCAGTATGTTAAACATTTAGACACAAATAGAATGTTTGCAGGCGAGTTTGACAAGTGCGTTTCAACGACTTGAGTCTTTATGCTGTTTCAGTGTTCAGCAGAATGTGGAGAAGGAGTAAGAACCAGGAACATCATCTGTCTGACTAATCACATCAGCAGTCTGCCGTTGGAAGGTTGTGGGAATGAGCGCCCTCCAGACACACAGGCCTGTAACTCTGCCTCGTGTGAGAGTCATACGGAGTGGTACACAGGACGCTGGAGCCAGGTGAGCACAATATCCGAAGTGCTGGTTTTGTTTATTAAACTAGTTTGTGTTTTAATGAAAAGGGTTAATCGCTGGGACACAAATCACTCATTGGCTCCAAGGCACGAGGAGCGAGTGCTGAGACGCATTCGCTAGCGCTTCACATCAGCAAATTCTAATTTGACAGGAGGAAACTGTTTTGTGATATAAATGGGACTTTTATCTGCTTTTGATTAGTCATACATTCTCCAGATCCTTAATCATTTTCCTACTCTTATTTGAAGGATTCTGCTGATCCAGCCTCATGAACTACATGTGGTGAATGAAATCCACACCCCAATTCTGAGGCTATGCCCCCCACCTGATTCTCTTAAGATAAAAAGGAATGTCTGTGCTCCTATCTTATACTTCCTATATGCAATACTGTGCCTTTATTTACATTGAATTTTATTTGGCAATCAACATGTGCATATCCCACCTTTGCAGCCTCCTTTGATTCAAGAGTTCTCCCCCGGCATTGCAGTGCAAATCCAAGATATTAATGGAAACGAGAAACAGCAGAGGGTCTGAGAATCTTTATTGTTTCACAGAGTCTTTAACATCCACCTGAACAGGACCACAGTTAAATATCTCATCCGACTTCTGGCAATTCTCCCCTATTAATGCACTGAAGTATCAGCCTGGATTGTGAGGTTGAACTTGTTCTCTATTTCAAACAATGACGTAATTCTTGGTTTTCTATCAAGAGGCATTCTAACCTGGAGGAGAGAATCACACCTGGTGGGATTACATGAAATGGTATACAGATGCTATGCTATGTTACTGATCTCAGCCAAGGCTACAATTAGCCTCGGTGCCCCAAGGTCATGGAGGGGAAGGGATAATATTTGTACAATCTAGCGTCGTTCACTAACTTTTTTTTGAGAGCCTCAATCCAACCCATGCCTTGCTCTTGGATGAATCTCGGGGGCAGCATAACATCTTGTGACAGGACATGGCCCACAAGATATACAGTCAATTCACTTTATAGTATGTTCTGTAAAGCGCTTTGAGACGTCTTGAAGATGTGATAAACCCTATATCAAATGCAAGGATTATTAACATAACATATAGGAGCAGGAGTAGGCCATTCGGCCCTTCGAGCCTGCCCTGCCATTCAATTTGGCTGATCTACTAATCTAACTCCAGCTAATAACCTAACCCTCCCTTATCCCCATATCCCTTAATCCCTTTTGCAATAAGAAATCTATCTATCTCAGTCTGCAATAAGAAATCTATCTATCTCAGTCTGCAATAAGAAATCTATCTATCTTATTATTATGGCAGCTGCCCATTTGGGTTACATCGGTGGTTGCCAGATGGAAGCTAGGTACTTACTCAAAATAATTGTTTAACCATCAAAGCAATAGCTCTGCTTAAGAGAGTCCTTTCTTTTTCAGATGCTTATCAATTTGTTTCCCTTATAATTGACTCCCAATGTTTTCCCACCATCAACGAGATGAACTGGTCAAACTGCCGAGTTCCACACATAACATGAAAATTTCCATTTGTTTCAAATGGAGACTCTCCCCAGAGGGATGCACTCTGATCACCTCATCCCGGAAAGCATTAGGTGCAGGTGGACTTCATAGTGCGCACTGGGATACAGCTGGAGTTTAACCAGCTAACAGCATGGAGCTTGCCATTGCTAGGAATGATTGGCAAGCTTCCCACAGCTTGTCTAATTACTTTACCATTTGGGGCTGTGGTTTGCTGGATTATCAGCAGATGAGTAAGAAGAATGCCTTCCTCTCATTGACTGATTTGCTGCTCCCAAGTCCTACTGACAAGCCAGGCTGGCTGGCTGTTCGACAGAGTCTCGGAGTGCTGGAGAGCTGCCTGTCTCAGAAATTGGCCTATTGAGACCACCACAGAGGATTGATTCAATTCTGATATTCCAATTGCCAGACATCGAGCAGTACTGCTTGTTTATTGGAACATTCTGAAAGTGGTGTTTATATGAACGTTCACTCAAGAGTTTGAGTTATGCTCCCTTCAGTGCTGCTTTTAGCAGAGGATTTATGGCCTGATTTTAAAACTTCTCATTCACTCTTCTGTAAATTTTGGCAATTTTGTGCTCTTTCAAGGGGGAAAAAATGCAAGCTTTTTCATAGCAACGATTGTTAACAAATCCTGTTTAAAAAAAATACCAAAAATTAGACTTATGTGTCCTTGAAAACATTTTTTTTCCAAATGATTTTATAAGCTTAATTTTCACCAAACTTTTTGGTTGCGAGAATGACCATTCTAAATGTCTTGTTCACTGTCTGGTTATAGTGTTCTGCTGAATGTGGCAGAGGAACTGAGCATCGGGATGTGACATGCATCAGGAAAACAGAAGGGATATTTACTGTAGTGGATTCCTTTGAATGTGCTTCTCAAGACAGGCCTCCTTCTCGGCAATCATGCTTCCTCAAGGCATGTGGCACTAAATGGTTTTATACTGAATGGAGCACAGTGAGTATTAAGTCTAATTAATCCTCTCCTAGTGTGTGATAATCAAATGATAAAGAATGCCCTTCTCGTGAGTCCAAGAATATTAGAATATCAACTCATTCAGTACATTATAACAAAAGCCCATTTACCATTTAAAAGAATAAAGAATTATGAATCGCATTAGTTTTATATTTTTTCTGTTCAATTCTTTCTCAAACTGGCAAGAGTTAATAAGCACGACTGGCTCAGGAATTCTCAGAGATGTTAATCCAATGTGCCTCACCATTCCTGTCCATGTATGTCAACCTTACAGCAGAATGTACTATACAGTGATCTGAAATTTATTATTGATTTAGTCTAAAAAAAATTATCTTTTAATTTAAGAGGAAGCCTAATTTTTTTAATTCAGCCTTAATTTGGAATCTATTTCCAGTTCTCCTTGTTCTCTTTGCTGCCTTTGATCTGATGATTACTGCACTTTTTCACCTTCCCTTCATAGGGCATCTTTGTGGCAATGCATTTTCCTGGTTCCATTGCTACACCAACACCACCACATCTCCTCCAATAGCTTCTCAACCCTATTGCACCATGATCACCACTAGCTCTATCAAGGGCTCTGTCCTTTGTTCTCCCTTATTCCTTTGCCAACTGAGCCATCAGGGGATTGACACTTTTAAAATCAGCTAACACCTTCTTTATTTGCTTCAGTGTTCCAAGTCTTGTGAAGGAGGGTTCAGAGTGCGTGAAGTGCGTTGTCTGACAGATGATATGATTCCTAGGGACCATTGTGATCACAATCAGAAACCAGAGGAGCATCAGAGCTGCAACAATGAGCCCTGTGTCCCAGAAATAGGTATGTAACCAATCTCAAACATTCATAGCATCCGGGAGATAGAAACGAAACACAGCTGTAACTGCAAATGTTGCATGACATCTCTCCCTGTTTCTTCCATGGTGGTATGCAATTTTTCACAGACTACTGGAATTCTCTGTATTAATCGCTTCTAAAATTCAGATAGTTTTTATGTGATTAATGGAAGAGGGAACCTGTGGAAATAATTTGGAAGAATCTTACATCACTTGTGACTTTCGTGCTAATGGATACAAAAGAAGTGAATGAATATTAGCAGTAAAATACCTAAAAGAGATGACTGAGAATATAGGGCTAGATGACTGCTATCAGACAATTCAACAGGTTTTCCTATGTGGGATATCAGAAGTCGTTGCAAAGTTGCGTTTTGTTCAACAATTAGATTATTTTCGAATTCCATTTATTTGGTCTTCCATGTTCCACACAGTCTGACCAGGGGACAGATTTGCCTCCAACCTCTTCCAATATTGCTGTGAAAGTAATCGCCCATAAGTTTTTTGTTTGTGTGGGTGGGGACACTGTTGGACAACAGACTCAGTGAGATGGCAGCGTGGCTGTGTGATGTTACAAGCTTGGAAATGGAGGGTAAAAAAGAACATAAGTGTTTAAGATTTTTTTTTTATTTTGCATTGATTTTGATAGCTTTTATTTAAATGATTGATTTATTTTTCCAGACGAGAACTGCAAAGATAAATATTACAACTGCAATGTGGTGGTGCAGGCCCGGCTCTGCGTGTACTCTTACTACAAGACGGTTTGCTGTGCTTCCTGTACCAGAGGGGCACGAAGATCACCAGGGTTTGTGGGTCACAGATAACGACCACTTGCTGCCATGATGCTTAATGAAGAGAATGGTATATTGCAGAGATCAGGAGTCTATAAGGACAAATAGAACTCTTTTATCAACTCCCAACTGCTTCTGACAAAAGCAAATATTGCTACCGAGACTTTGCAGCAATAGCGTTCTAGATGACATCTTCAGAGTTAAAGAACGGGGCCATTTTAAATGCTTTTCCTAGCAAGGTGCAGTCCCCTTGTAACTAGGCCTAACACAGAGTTCTTGTTCTACAATATCCTGGAGAAGCATGCTGAATTCAATGGACCGTGGGCCACTATAGTGTTACTGAAACAATTTGAGTTTTTCGACGAGTGGACTAAAGATGAAGAAATGAGCAAGCAATTCTATCTTATAACTCAACGAAACCGTCATTTCCCCACATTCCTGTTGGGTTCATTAAGACTGAACATTAGTCAAACGTTGAATTTCTGAAACGCGCATTGCTTTCCTCTAGAAAAGGAACTTGATTTGCAGCTTAATGGTTCCAATTCGGGAGAAGAGCACTTCTTACATTGAAAGGTTTCTGAGGTGCGGTGAATGCCCACGTGTGGTTGACGCTCTCAAACCTGCACTGCAGTGACAAATGCGTCACCTGAACAAAGGATTTACCAGTTGGAGTTATGTTGAGAGTAAACCAACAGCAATTCTAAGAAGAGTTTTATGGCATTTGACCTGCTTCCTGCACAAAGAAGCCTATCTGAGAGTTTTCATTTCAGGCTTGCCTTGAGAATAATCCTTGGAAAATATCAGAAAACCACAACAACTTGCACTTATATAGCGCCTTTCACGACTCAAATCTTCAGACCAATATTTAGGACATTGGAAGTTATAGCATAAAACATTTGGCTCATCGTGTCCGTGCTGATGCTAGTTCCCCCACTGGAGTTATGTATGTACTGTAATTTCTTTCTCCTCTGCCCCTCCTCACAATAACAGTTTTTTTTTCTCAAATATTTATCCAATTCCCTTTCATTCAACTACTTGCGGTATAATCCTCTGTGATAAAATAAAATCTACACACCTTTTTTCTTCTGGTGATGATCCTCAATTTACACCTTCTTATTACTGATTTTCCAATAATAATAATAACAACAATAAGTGGAAAGAGTTTCTTTATCTCATCAGAACCATTGAAACCCTCTACAAATACCTGGCTTGCAGGAACGTGCGTCTTGATCACTGAAGAGTAAATGAGAAGTTGTGAAACGAGCCAAAAGACTCTATACCAAATGGAGCATAATTCAAACTATTGATGAACCATTCTTCCTTAGTCACATTCGAGTGACTCTACGCTGTACTTTTCATTGCTACTATATATACTTTAATGGGGTGCCCAAAATTGTATGATCCACCAGCAGTCAATCTACAAATTCAACATCACCGCTGTGCTTTTGATTGCTGTAGCTTTCTCGGCATTATCATATGCTATGGCAGTACATTTACAGATTCTTACCACTCTTCATGAAGAAATTGTAACGTTGATTCTAACCCTTCCTATCCCAATTTTAAGGTCATGTCCCCTATTAACTGTTTCTTTCATGGGTGGGAGTTGATTTAGTATTTTGTTGAACCTCACAATCAAAATCACACGTCAACTTCCAAGAATTTATCCCCAATTTATTCAGGCTTTCATAGTAATTATCATTTCTTGTGAATCTATGCTGCATTTTCCCCAAAGCCAGTGTTGAAGTGCATACTGTGCACTGAGGTGCCCAAAGGTGAATAAGTGACGTCTGTTCTCACCAGTGCTTTGTATGAACCTTTGTATTACTTGCCTGCTTCTACCTTATGTAATCCAATATTTCCATTTGCCTTGCTGATACTCTCTGCACCTATGAGCTAGCTTCTTTGATATCGTTCACCATAATTATTTTTGTAAGTTCTCCATGCCTCCCAAGTTTAAAGTTGTCTGTAAGCGTGGATACATTCCCCTCTCTACCCCTGAAAACTGGTTCTCCCCATAATAAACTTAATGCTAGTTCTCTGAATCAACTTGGATCTGCTCTCCTGCTGTCTCACGAATGATTCATTAAAGGAACTTTCCCATCACTGACTTCAAACTATCTGGCCTGTATTTACAGGGATCATCTTTACCTGCTTTTTTGAATAAAGGTGCAACATTTCACTACCTTCCAGTCCTTTGATATTAGTCCTGAATCCCAGAGAGCACTGGAAGATTGCACCTAACAGGAATGAAGTAACTTGTTTTTTAATGATATAGTGGATGCCATTGAACTTGTGTCCTGCTGCTCTGGTGTCGTGTTGAATTGACAGGATAAATAGTGGACGACTCTTCCCTCTGGTGGAGGGAGGGATCCAAAATGAAGGGACATCATTTTAAAAATGGAAACTAAAGCAATTCGAAGTCAGATTAGAAAACATCAGAGTTGTGAAAATGTGGAGTCCATGCCTCTGGAAGGCCAAACAGTCCGAATGAATTGGGATATCTAAAAAGGAGATAGATGGATACTTTGGAAGTAAGGGCATTAAGGGATATAGACAAAAGACAGAAACGTGGGGTGACCATATCTGCCATGATCTACTGGGAAAACAGACTGATATGTTTCTAGCTAGTCTATGGAAAACTAAATCCCTCTCTTTCCTGCATCTATTTTCGCCCATGAAAACCAAAACAAGGTTTGGGTTTAGGTTTTTTGGCCATATCTGCATGCTCTGTAAGTGTCTCATCTTTGTGCGTTTTTATTGATCCCATTTTCTTTTTTATGGCCTTTTTTCAGCAGAACTCAGCAGTATTGGTCACATTCATTTATTGCTTTACTTTTACTTTAATATTGTTGGAAAGTGTAATTGCCTCTGTGAGTTTACTACTCTGTACTAAATGCTACACATCGCGGATTGATTAGACATCAACCTTAATATACCACGCTTATTTTGCTGCTACTATATCATTGGTTTCTGGAGAAGTCGCATGTTCTACCTTTGTTAAGTGTTGTTGGCACATTAACAAGCCACGTGACCCATCAAGTCTGCACTGGTCACTTTTCAACATCATTCAGGCAATCAAAAAAATGAACATTTCTCCTTTGTCAGCAATTTCCCTTTTACGTCTTCTATGCTATCGGTCAATGTCTTTGGGCAAATTGAAGCCTAATTTCTTTGCATTGATATTGAGAGTTGCTAGTTATCGGTACTTATTAAAGGCAAAACTATGAGGGTGACAAACAGCTAAATTCCTCAAATTGTGTCCGAAAACATTACAATGGGGAAATGTTCGGGAATGTATTCAAATATTTAATATTTGTAATCCCCTGAATATATTCCCAAAAAATTATAAAATTACAAACTTTCTGTAATGTTTTATCCTTCTTTTGCCTAAAAGTAAAGATTTCATTTGCTGTTGCTAATAGAACTCCAGGCTCTGTGTGGATCTGATACTTCGAGGTTCAACTACAATGTCCCAGCTAAGCAAAGCCCAAGTTAACATCAACCTCAAACATGATTAATAATCTCACCAAGGAAAATATGATGTGTAATACGATTGAAAGTGTGGTGTTTCTATTTATTATTAAGGAATCCCATGAGAATCCCTATCAAATGATGGGATCATCCCTCTCAAAGTGGATCACATTGGAGTAAAATGTCAAAACTCAAGTTACCAGAAGGAGACCCCATTTGTGTAACTTGGGATTCCTTTTTAAGAAAAAGAAATGATGCATTTTAGACCCCGCTTAATGTTCTATCTCTGTACAAATAAATTTACACTTTGTAATGGATCTCCACACATATAGTTCGGGAGATATTTACCTAGTGGCCAACTGCTCAAGAAAAATCCTCAAAATACCTTTCCAGCAAATGTCATTCTTACCTTTTTAAATATTGGTGCATGAGCACCATTCAGTATCTGGTCCATCTTCAAGTATTCATGACATTGTCAGTACTGTTGAAGGAACTACTTTGTTAGCCATAACTTATTTGTTATATTGTATGTAAATACAAGTTGTTTACAGTTTATAGTTGTTCAGGAAATATCTGTAATATTTCTGTTGCATAATCCATTCTATTATGATGTTTAACTATTTTTTACACTTAGAATTCTCAATTTTTTTCATAAAAAGGGACAAGACAAAAGTTGTCTTATTTATTTACAGTAACTGATCAAGCATTGCTTCATAGTTCTGTCAATGTAGCTCACTTTGAGAACCGTAGATGGTACATATGACATTATGTAAATTTCAACTTACAGCTGATACTAAAACTGTGTAGACAAAACCTATGACAGGATCTTGGTGTCAATGTAAACTAAATCTCTATTAAACCCGCTCAGGTCTTTGTAACGACTGAGCAATCTGTACAGCTACTTCTATATTGTACACATTTCCCTGAAGGAATATTTTAAACTATTTTGTTTACAACTAATTTATTTTTACGATTTTGAAAATAAACTAATGGAAAAACATTAACCTGGAAATATAGAAGTTACTTTCTCTCTGTCTTGTGCAGCTATTTTTTTTTGTTGAATTGACAGAAAACCACAGAATTGGTATTAACATCAAATTAGAAGCTGCATTTCTTTGGCTTAATCAGCCAATATGTAACCTTGGCATTCTGGTTGATTCACCTCGCCCTCTCCCTTGCTTCCTTCAAGGCTCATCTCAAGACCTTTCTCTTCGACCGTGCCTTCGATTGCCCTCCACCCCTCCTGATCCCACCCCCAAGCTTGGGTGCACATCCTTGACTGTCCAGCGCTTTTGGACGTCCTCCCGACATCAAAGGTGCTACACAAATGTAATTCCCCAAAACCTTGGCCTGTTATGCCCTCTCCTACTGAAATCTTAATTCATTCTTTGATACTTTGAGGTTGAGCTTCTGTAGCCTCCCTAGTTCTGACCTCTACAATTTCCAACAAAACTTCGCATCCTGCATTCCCGCCCATACCAGGCTCTGCACAGCCAACCTCTCTATCCTTACTGAACTCCACTGGTTCTCAGTGCTTCAGGGGGAATCTTTGAGTCACTGGATGACACTGTAGTTACAGTTTCTGTGTTCATCCTCCCTCGTGGTAGGATTCTTCTTGATTGTGGAGCCCTTTACAAGGGGTCGACCTGACCACCAATGGTTGGTGTGATAATTGTACTCTTGTATCATGCTCCACTCCCCCTACCTTTCATCCAGAATAGTCATCAGCTGACACTTTCCATTGGACTCCCCAAATAGTGTATTGAGCCTCCTGGCTCGCCACTGTATGAAAGTCTAAACCTGAGGACACTTGGATATTTGCTCTTTTCACAATTACTGGAGTCCTTTTTACAGTAACTTGAGATTGGTGCATTGAGGCAATCTCATAGACTGTGGTCCTAAACATGATCATCAACAAGAATAAGCGTACGATCCAGTTGGTGCTAATTATCAGCCACGGTGTGTATTGTAAGGAGGAATAGATTTGAAAATTGTTTGGCCCCAAATATCTTAGCTTTGTTGGTTTAAACACCAGCAGGTGGTGCTGGTGTAAACTGCTCAAACAAATTATAAGTGTACAGTGAGTACATAAAAATAGAAGTGTGATGAACAGAAGCCACAATGTCTGATGAAAATGTGTAACAATAACTGCCAATATATAATATATAGTAACTAATAGCAACAATGTTCAAGTGAGCCGCAACCAATATGCCCTAGATCAATCACTAAAAGGAGTGTGAAATTTGATTGTCCTTCTCCCCCAATGTCATGATGATGCCAAGAATTGGTGAACCTCAGAAAGGAAGCAGAGAGCAATACTGTCAAAGAGATTTTCTCCATCTTTGAAGGAGCATTGGGCAGTTCCAAAAAAATTGAAAAACCATAATGTAGACCGCGATAAGCTGTTTCATCTCGTACTGAACAGTAGAATCAGAAGACACAGCCTGTGATTGAAGGGGGGTAAGTTCAGAACAAAACTGCGGGAACACTATTTCAGTGAGCGAGTAGTAAATCTATGGAACAGGCTCCATAGGGAGAAAGTGGAAGCAGAAAATGTTGATTCTTTCAAGAACAAATTAGATTTTTGTTCGGAAATAATATCTCGGGAGACAGTATACAGTTTGGAACATGATATTTGCAGGCGACTGCCAGGAAGGTGGAAGGTGAACTGAATGGATCTAGACCTTTTGCCTGGCAAATTCTTATGTTCATTGTGCGAGGCTAACCAGTGATGTGCCTATCTCTGACACTCAGCAACATGCAGCTTCTGAGGAAATGTGCACAGATCCCAAAAGTACCTTCCTAGACCCCAATATGGAGTTGGGAAATTGAGATTATTTATCGGGAAGCAGTTAAAGGCCAGGTCAACGCTTCTGTAGTGCAAAGTTTCTGACACTAGATGGTGCTTTTGAGGTATGTAATTACTACATACACCCATTTGAATTTGTAACCAAAGTTTTAAAAAACTGTTGAGATTCCCCTTGGGTCTAGTTTAACTCTATATGTCATTTTAGAGAGTCCAGAATTTGGCAAATTGTTGAATTTATTCTTAACTATGAAACCAATTTTCTCAAAACCAGCTTCAAAATTATATTTAATAAACCTTCCATTTGCATGTGATATTATCACATTAAGACATTTCAAAGTGCTTCATAAAATACGTCATTGTGGTTTGGATTCTAAAGGATATGCCGTAAAGTGATGTGACTGTATATTTTGTGGCTGAATGCGGCAGCCAATTTACATATGAGTCTTTCAAGAGAAAATTAGAAAGATTTCTTTTAGGAAATAATATCTTGGGATACAGTATATAGTTTGGGACATGACATGTGCCAGCGACTGCCAGGATGTTTGAAGGTGAACTGAATGGACATTGATTTTCTCTCACCCAGCAATTCTTATTTTCTTATCTTTAGCAATGTCCCACAATTTATTTGATGATTTGGCTGTCCACTCTTTACGAATAGTATCAGGGGATCTTTAACATCTACCTAGAGCGGCAGACTGGAACTCGGTTTAAAGTCTCTTCATGCCAGGAATGGGGAAGCTTAGCTATGAGGACAGGCTGGAAAAGTTAGGACTTTTCCTATTAGAGCAGAGAAGGTTACGCGGGGACCTGATAGAGGTCTTCAAGATCATGAAAGGTTTTGACAGGCGAGATAAGGAAAAGCTCGTGGTCACAGTCTTAAGATATCTACCAAAAGAAGCAGAGGGGAGTTCAGAAGAAATTTTTTCACTCAGTGAGTTGTTAGAATTTGGAATGATCTGCCCGAAAGGGCAGTGAAGTCCGATTCGATAACAGCTTTTAAAAGAGAACTGGATAGGTATCTGGAGAAGACAGGTTTGCAGGGTTACGGGGAGAAAGCTGGTGAGTGGGGTTAATAAAAGTCAGTTGCTCTGTCAAAGAGCCGGCACAGACTCGATGGGCCGAATGGCCTCCTTCTGTGCCGTAACATTCTATGATTCTATGATTCTATAAAGGAGGGCAAGTCCAACAATGCAGCATACACCAGCACTACATTGGAGAATAAGCATAGACTCTTATGAGTTCTGAATGCTTAAATCCACGTACCCTACCAATGAATGCTTCACCTTTGGTAAAGACTCTAATCACATTAGTGAATCATCCAAGTAAATGTGGAGTCACGTGTTTTGTTCTGTATGTTGGTCAATATTACACAAAGGATTTTCAGCATTTGACCTGCATGTTTTCTATGTACTTTACACAATGGAAAGTGGACTTTGTTATAGGTGACTAGCTGACCCGAAGGAGACAATTGATGCAAAAAAAGGAGAAATTTCTTCCAAACTGGAATATTCTACAGAAGAATAGAAGAGATGGAGATGAATGGAAAAGAAAACCAAAGGAGAAAAGGTAAATGAGTCAATCAATCTTATGTGGTTATGAAATGACCATCAGACCCAACAAGTATGCACCATGATTGTGCACTCTATAATCAGGAAATAATGTTGATTGTATATATTATGAATAATGCAATTCTTTGGAAACTTTTGGAACATTACTCACTTCAGTTTTTGTATCGACAAGATCAATTTGTACTAAAAATACCTTGTGGTTGGACTTTGTTTTCCTAAGAATTCTACTTTTTCCTCTTCCTGATTATCAGCCTTGTTTCCTCCCTCACCTCTTGTAATCATTCATTTCCATGTGGAGCTATATACAATAACCTGAGCAAAGTGACTTAGGCCTGTGCGAATGTCAAAATATTTAAGCTAGGTTCAACAAAAAGCATAGAATTTATAATATAGTAACAATCTTTGCATTTGACACAGCCCCTTATTACATTGAAATATCTCAAAACTCTTCAAAGCTCTTTACACTTCTGTAAAGTGTAGTGACTGTTTATAGGTGACCGCGGAAGGTAATTTGTGTACATCAATGTCCTATGAAGTGAATGGCCAATTTTTTTTATTTGGGTGACCGTTGGCCAGAAAACTGAGAAACCTGCTTCTGTGCAGTGGGATCTTTAGCTTCCACCTGAACAAGCAATGGGAAATTTGGTTCGACATTTCATCTGAAGGACAGCACCTCATTCCCCTAGCACTGCATTGGAGTATCAGCCTAAACTGCAAACTCAAAATCATGACCCGGGGCTGGGACCCTCCACATTCTAGCCCAGAGTCAAGAGTACTACCAACTGAGCTGTTAACTGTATTTAAAATTTAACATTTGCCCTACAAAGTAGATTCGGAGCATGAACAAATCTTTCCCAATGACAAATGTAAAAAATATAGTTTTATGTGAATACTGTGATTAATTTTGAGAAAAGACCTTGAGTAAAGCAACATGAGATTTTTCAAAGAGAGTTATTGTTCGAACAAATTATTTACTTTGCTGTCTCTGACCCAAGGTTAGCAAGGTATGACTGTTGACATTAACTCATCTTCCCTTAAAGTAATTACTTTTATCTTTTAGCAAGTATATGAGTATATGAGTAAGTAAAGTCTGACAGTGATCCAACCAAGTAATTAGCAGAACTTCCGGTAAGTGTAAAATCATGAATGGAGGTTATTCATTTCACAAATCTCCCGTGTGTATCAAGCAATAAGTGGAACGTACCCTACCAATGAATGCTTCACCTTTGGTAAAGACTCTAATCACATTAGTGAATCATCCAAGTAAATGTGGAGTCACGTGTTTTGTTCTGTATGTTGGTCAATATTACACAAAGGATTTTCAGCATTTGACCTGCATGTTTTCTATGTACTTTACACAAGGGAAAGTGGACTTTGTTATAGGTGACTATGTCTATTGTTTACTTGGAGTTTGGCTAATTATTTTACTCTCCTGGAAACCAGAGCGTTACATTGTTTAGTAGTTGTAGCCCAAATTAAAGATTGATGGACATGATGACTTGTGATCCCCTTTGGCAAGGAGATTGTATGTTTATTTTACTACGCTAGGAATTTACAACAGTTGTGTGTCTTTCTCTCCCTTTACCTTTTAATTCCATTGACCCACAACTTCTGATACAATTTGACATTTGACATTGTATCAGGCTTCTGGGATTACTGATCACACACATAATGTCAACCTATCTTTTCTGTTCAGCTAATACTAATATTTGATATAAAGTTAATTATATCAAAACATATCTGAGCATGTAATAGGTAATTGCTGTCAAGTGCGGGGACTACATTTATAGTAAAACACAAGACAAGTTACCTAACAATGAGCGATTTATCTGGAGAATTGTTGGCCGGGACACTGGGAGAAATGTCCTTTTCTTTTCAAGGAGTGTATTGGGATCTTTAACGTTTACCTAAACAGACAGGTGGAAACTCAGCTTAATAACTCAACTGAAGGACTGTATTTCCGACAATGTGGTCTGTGATGAAAGTCTCAACTTAGGAAGTAAACCAAAATTGTTCTGAGCCCAAGAGACCAACTGAGCCAAACTGAGAGCTTTGCAGCAGTTTTTTTCAGCTTTCCAATATACAAAATCTTGCTTTTTATCTCTGCCCCATGAGCAACCATTTCCTGACTTTGGAGGAGCAAAAAGGGTTAAACTCTCCAACACCCAGATAACCTTGCTTTGATCAGCAGAGAAATTCACAAACAAATCAAACTCCAAAAACACACACCATCAAACAAATAAATTACATTTAAGGAAAGGAGGGAATAGATACTTGTAGGTTGGGCTGTGAATGCATAATTGAATCAACATTTGCTTATTGTAAAGAGTGGGGCGATTGTTCTCGTTACTTCAGAAAAGTTACCAACCGTAGCAATGTTTATTGAAGCAAATTTACTGGGAAGCAGTAAGGATTAATGATGATCGACCTCTGTGAACACATTAATAATGTAGAATTGCATGAAACAGTAGTTGTTTAATACAGTCTAGACGTTTTAACATTAGTGATGGATCACCAACAAATAAACATTCTGCTAGATTTATTGCTGAATGGTTTGTTGCCTCTGCTTTTACTTATGTCCAGAATATACTCAGACTTGCTTGAAAGTGTTTATGATCTTTGCAAAATGTGTATGTGTGGGGGTGGGGGCGCGGGGAACTCTTCAAATGAGGGGGGGCAGGCGTAAAGAGAAAGAAATATTCTGAAATACGCTCCATATATGAACAATAAGTGGTCTCCAATATGACTGTGTGCAACATGAAGTCCTTGAAATGAAATTATTTAAATTAATTTCCTCAAAAAGATTTTGGCTGGGATTTTGTACGTGTGCATGGATTTGATTAGTAAGACAAAGGATTCAACCATTTCATTGTTGTGTAAGATTTGCCAGCAGTTTACAACAACAAATTACACTTATATAGTGTTCTCCACACAGGGTAGCGTTTCAGAAAACTTAACAGTGGTGGAGCCTGACTCTGAGCCAGTGGGTGGGGGGGGTGGTGTGTGTGTGTGCTTGACCATAAGCACGATCGAAAAGGAAGGTTTTCAGGTGGGATTTGAAAAAGCGGAGAGAGGGGACAAGGTGGTAGGATTATGGGAGAGTGTTCCAGAGTTTTGGGGTGGAGTGGCTGAAAGCGCGACCTCCGATGGTGGGGCGGAGGGTGCGAGGGACGAGCAGGAGGTTGGTGCCAGTCGAGCAGGGTGGTGGATTGGGGAGTGAAGAGGTTGGAGAGATAGAGAGGTGCCAGGGAGTGAAGGAATTTTAGATAACATTGTGTGGATAACAGGAACAAGGTGGGATTGTAACATAACTAGATTACATAATAAGCTTGTCCAAAGCAAAGAAGGCATTGTATTAATGACAATGGCGTTTAGCAGCAACTGAATCATAGGAAGACATAGTGGGAGACATGCAAAGTAACTCTACACTTCTCTGATACATTCCAGAAAGCAAAGCCTTTTTTGATGAAAGGCTAGCAAATTATTGACAATAATTATTTTTGATGAAAAAATCTAAAAGTTAAACCAAGGCCCCAACTATCTGTTTAGGTGGACCCTTAAGGCCTGATTGGCACTATTGGAAAATAGAAAGCAGTTTTTAACTGGTGTCCAGGCAACCAATCCTCCAGATAAAACTGATCATTCACTTCATGCCTGTTTGTGGGACTTTGCTGCGTGTAAATTGGTTGCTGCATTCACTTACAACAGTCACTTTACAGTAAATCCTGCACATGCTTTGACATGTTTTAATGATATGAGGCATTATGTGTCTTTCAAACATTATAATTAATATATACTTCAAGTTGAAAAAGAAAATCGACTACAGTATACAATATAATTTACATTAATATAGTGCCCTTCATGTCGGGAGGGCATCTCAAAGTGCTTCACAGTGCCTGATGGGGTGGGGGAGGAGAAAGATGACCAAAAGTGCGGTCAAAGAAATATATTTTGACACGTACCTTAAGAGGCGAGAGAGGGGGTGAGTTGAAGGGACTCTGGAGAATGAGTGGGGAGTGGCTGAAGGCTTGCCCATCGCTGGTGCGGCAGATACGGTGGGTGACATAATAATAATCATTATCCTTGGATTTGATATAGCGCCTCATCACGTCATCAAGATGTGCAGCAGCCTGGTGCTCGTTTAGGAAAGGCAGTGGGTAAGTCAGTAAGGTTAAATGTGGTTGCAGAGGTAGGGTGGGGTAAGACGGTGGAGAGATTACCCCAATGGCTCAGCAGGTTTATTCAGTTAGTAACAGTCAGATTTAGGAAGTTACCAAGTGTGCTCTTTGGTCTGAGTTAGCTGACCTGAAGCAATTAGTTTCATTTTTGTGGTTAGCTGGGTGTATGACACATGAGGAAAATACTAATGATCCTTGCATCATTTGATATGGTGCTTTTCACATCGAGAGGGCATCTCAAAGTGCTTCATAGGATTTACTGTAAAGATTAGTGACTGTATAAGCAAATATATCACCGTGCTTAAGAGTATCCAAACCAGACTGAGAGTTCCACATATGCATGCCCCCTATGGACGGAAATTTCCGTGTGTCTGGAATGAAGTTTCATTTTGAATGTTTCACTTAGGACCAGTGTTTTTCTTTAGCCAGTATTAGTCCATGATAATCCCATGCCTTATCCCTTCCAGAGATCTCTTAAGATTTAGTGACCTGTCAGAATCATTTGATAATTGTCAACAGCATTTGAATTAGAGAGAACCTTTTTCTGTTATGTGGAATTTTTCTGGTCCTGTTAATCAGCATTCACTATCTGACTCGCTATCTAACATAGCTAGAGCAAGGTTGTAGAGAACACCTTTGTGTGTAGTCCTGGGACATTTTTCCGATGTGAAAAGCGCTGTACACATGTAATTTGTTGTTGTTAGCCTGGTTCAATTTGTACCACTCTTGCCTCAGAATCAGAAAGTTGTGGGTTCAAGTTCTACTTCAGGACTGGGATCCCATATGTCTATGCTGACTCTCCAACGCAATGCTGAGGGTGTGCTGCATTGTCGGAGGTGCCGACCTTCAGATGAGACATGGAATTGAGGTCCCGTCTGCCAGTCCGGGTGAATGTTAAAGATCTCATGGCACTATAAAAAAAGCAAAGGGAGTTTCATTCCCGAATAAAATTGTTCACTCTCTCCATGGCTGTTAGTGGGACATTGCTCTCTGCAAATTGATTGCCACATTCGCCTGCAAAATTCCCACTCACTCCAAATTACAGTATATCCTGTGAAGCGCTTTGAGACATCTTCTACGTTGTCTTTACCTGCGAGACCCTTTTATTTAAGATTGGAATTGTAGCAATTTCTTAAAACTCAATCTTCGTTCCACAGTTTTTATAAAGACCCAGCTTCTAAACTAAGACTGAATTTACAGAATTTTCCACAATTCTGTTTGACCTTACATTCTAAAGCAAAATAGGCTGAGGTAAAGACTCAGTGAAATTTGGGGCCCCCCGAGGCATGTTAACCTTCAACCCGAACTTCTTAGCTTGAAAAATTTCCGACAATGGTTGATGACAGGAAGAAATAAGCACTGAACATATGTTAATGCTCCTATTATGTTCATTCAAAAGTCCTGGAGTTATGCAATGTTATACAATGAGCTCAGGGTTGCAGATAAGGGCCATTTTAAGATTGATATCCTTGACCCCAGAGACAGAGGGCTTTGTGCTTCTCACTAACATCTGCCATTTATCACTTTTATAGGATATTGTACCCTGCTTGTCTAATTCCCTGGAACAATCAGACATAGAGCTCATCTTCCACTGCAAAGTTGCAAGCAAAGTGAGTGAGTGTAAAGCTGTAACTACACGTTCTGCGTAAATCCCATGTAAACTTTTTTCAACGTACTTTAATTAGTACTTTAATAATATTTGGATATGTGGCTCTGCAGTCAGGCGCTTAGGAATGAATTGAAACATCTGGATGATGTGGTGGGGCTCTGTGTCAAATGCAAGGATATTATTATTATTATTTAAAACAATAAATCAAGAGAATCACCAGAGTTTTGTATGGACATCAAGTTTGATTCTATCTTCTGACTTAGCTTAAACTAAATCTAGTACACAGAATATATTGTAAACTGTATTTTGTGGGCAAAACATGGCAGCCAATTGGTCACAGCAGTGTTCAACAAACAGCTATGGTTTGAGTGACTAAATGTATTTTTTTTTGGAGGGATTATTAGACCCGGAAAACGATCCGTCAATTGACTAACAACCGGGTTCCTATTCACTGCTAGGTAAACAGAGACGTGTGGAGGAAGGATACTTGCCTAAGGTTTTGCCCCTCCCGGGAATCAAACCCAGGTCCTCTCGCTTGCACGATGAGTGAGCTCCGGGAAAGTAAAGATATAAGCATATACCAGTATGGTGTACATTCAGTTATGCTTGTCTCTATTCACTGTGCTGTACAAGCAGATAAAAGAGGGTCAGTTTCTATGTTGAAAAAATATACACCTGAGGAGGGGGGAATGGGGTTGCATACTGTTTGGATGATCGCATTTGAGTTTCAAATACTTATATTGGGAGGGGACTTCAATACAAAAGTGATTTCAACACTGAACCTTTAGATTTATGCAAAACCTGCATTTCTCCTTGTTCATTTTTCCCTAAATGCATTCCTCTTGGTAAATGACCCTTTAAGAAACCAATAAAATTCATCAATGTTTATAAAGGAAATTTAACCAGGAGGAAAAATTCCAAAATAATCCCAAAGACAAGAAAACAAACATTTGAATTTCTTTTTCTGCTATTTAAACATAGGCACAGCAACAGAAAATGACAGAAGAATAATCTGCATCTTTTTTAGTTCCTTACACTTTTCGCAGGCAAACACATACATTTTGCATGAGGAAAATTAATGATTTATCTGGAGGATTGTTGGCTAGCAAATCCTCTTCTCTTTCCAATAGAGTCATGGAATTTTTAAGGTGAGGACAGGCAGAAAGGACCATGGTTTAATGTCTCATCTGCATTCACTGGAGCTCAGGTCCGCATCTGAAGAAGAGCAACAACAGCTACCAGCAACCCATGCAATTGCACAGGACCCCAAGGTAGCGAAGGGGCAGACCCCTTTCATCGTGACTCAGTTACTTGTTGGCTCGTACACTCCAGGCCAGGCTCCATCCACTCAAAAACCTATTGAAATCAGGACCCCCGCAAATGTGGCCCCTACACTTTACATTTATACAGTGCATTTCACACGGGGAGGACATCCCGTTAAAAGGACAGCATTTCCTACAATGAAGTGCTTCTCCAGCAATGCCCAGGAGTGTCAACCTGCACTATGATAATAATAATCCTTACATTTGATATAGCTCCTTATATTGACTTTGATACGTCTCAAAGTGCTTCATAGAATATACAGTAGAGTGAATTGACTGTATTTTTTGTTTACAAAACACGGCAGTCAATTGTGCACAGGAATGTCTCATGAACAGTCATGGATTGAGTGACCAGATTATTATTTTTAAATTATTTTTTGAAGGGATTATTACTTCCTGAAAAGTGATCCAGCAATCGACTAACAACTGATTCCTACTTACTGATAGGTAAACAGAGTCGTGTGGAGTAAGAAAACTTGCCTAACATTTTGTCCTGCCCGGGAATTGAATCCATGTCTTCTTGCTTGTGAGGCGAGTGCTCTAACCAATACGCTAAAGGACTCTGAGCTTGAAGTCCTGACATGGGGCTCGAAATGACAAATCCTGTGACTCAGAGGCGAGTGTGCTACCAACTCAGTCAACCAAATTCAAAAACAAAAAAAAGAATCTAATCTAGTCAATATATCTGCATGTGATGGACTGTTTAATGTGACGTTTGCCCAATTATCTGTCGATTCTTGCCAGAAAACTATTTGTGGTACTTCAATGCTGCCAAATCCTAAATATGCTGAACCTGACACATGATTTACTGGAACTATAAACTTTGCTGCTAGTAAGATATCTAATGAACCTCAGTATCTATTGCTGATGTCTTCAATATATTAATTAGTACATGATGTGTGCAAGGAGTATCCATGATTAACCAAATCACCATTCTGTACTTCCATTGCTGAACTTACTCACGTAATCAACAATTTTATCAGGGGATTAGTGACCTGGAAAAACTGCCTTCTCTTTTTGATTAATAATAATAATCCTTACATTTGAGATGTTTCAAAGCGCTTCACGGGATACACTGTGTATTTTGTAGGCAAGTAGGGCCACGGAAGCTTTAATGTCCACCCGATTAGGCAGACAGGACTTCAGTTTAACATTTCATATGAATGAATGTTCTATAAACACAAGCAGAGTCAAGTCCCTATCTGCCATTAATATCAAGGTTTGAGATTCTTTTTTTCACCAAGCTATAGGAAATTATAGTAATAATTTGGTCACTCAATCCACAACTGTTTATGGGACGCTGCTGTGCGCGATTGGCTGTCGGGTTTCGCCCACAAAATACATAGTCAATTCACTTTACAGTATATTCTGTGAAGCGCTTTAAGACGTCGCAAAGACGTGATAAAGCGCTATATCAAATGTAAGGATTATTATTATTATGTCCATGTAATTAGGTTTCAAATGCAATAAATCTTAACTGCTCTGACCTTGGCAATCTTGGCAAAGTAATTGAAGGTTTGAAACATTTAAAGCAACCATAAAACAATAAACTGTATAAAACATTCTGAATGTATTTTTGACCGACAGGAAAGCTGTAAGTCATACACATTAATTTATTTATGCCAACTAGGTGTCTAACATACCCAGAAACTCATTGTCATGGTTAAGAATATCCAAACCAGCCAGAGTTAATCTGCATGGAGTACACACTCTCTCCCCAGATGGATTGATCCTACTTATCTAATTCCAGAGAGTATTAGACACAGACCTACAACAACCCCATTGGGGACCTAATTAATTAATTAGTGTGCATTGGGTTCAGGCTGGCTGGTCTGTCATCTACAGTGCCTTGGAGTACTGCAGACTTGCCTGGCTCAGGAACTGAACTTTAATCTTACTGCTTTCTGCCTGTTCAAACAGGATGCTAAGATTAATTTAAAATGTATCCACCTATTCTCTGGAACGTAGTCTAATGCAATGGTAGCACTCTCGCCTCAGGCAAACTGGCTGCCAGATTTCGCCCAAAACGTACGCAGTCAATCCACTTTACAGTATATCTCAACAACATGATAAGGTGCTATATCAAATGCAAGGATTATTATTATTAACACCTATTTTAGTGTCCTCAACAAATTTGGCTATAGTGCTATTTCTGCCTAATTCAATGTCTTTGATGAATTTTGGAGTTAAATGCCAATCCAACATGGAACCTGGCAAACATCACTGGAAGCTGTCCCACAGCTGGATCCATCTCTCTAAATGACCAGTTTCTACTTCCTATTACTCAACCAATTTTCACCTGACCCTGTGACCTGTGAACCAGTCCCTGTCTTGCTTAACTTACCCAGGGACACCTTTGTGAAAGTACTTGTCAAACTTGCATTTTTACAGCACCTTATCATGGTGACACATCTCAAAGCATTTCACAGATAAGTACTATCCAGTGTAGTGACAGTATTTCATAAGATCACATGAGACTCTTGTAGGAAGAATGCCTTTTGGCTCTGTTGATATCATCTTTCAAGAATACACACCCACTGGACGTCCCATTACACCAACAAGCTGACTGTTTCAGTCAAAAATGACAGTAATTTTTTACTAGCAAGGCTCCAGAAACGACCATGAGTGATTGATTAATCTGAAGTCTTGTTGACTGAGACTCCTGGAGAAACTCGCTTCTATTTCCAAATAGTGTCACAAGATTTTTAATGTTTACCTGAACAGGCAGATAGTTCACTGGTTTAAGATCCCATCGGAACAATGGTGCTTTTAACACGCAATGTTCCCAAAGGAGTGCACCAACTGATACGTCAGCTTAGACTGTGAACTGCTATCTGGCTGTGGGTGATGTACAGTGAGCCAAACTGATACTTGATTTGTTGTAATTATGACCTTTGATAACAGGGAAGATATCTGATCCACAACTCCCAGAGTATTCATTGTTGATACATCTTCAATATATTTATTAGTTCACCCCCTGGAAAAAGGATGTATCTGATTGGCCTACCAACCTGTACTTTCATTGCTGACCTCAGCTTGGTTTAGCTCACATGCTTAACAATTGCTAATATAATCTTGTGATCATTCCTGTAAATGACTTACTTCATGTGAATTAAGGAAGCTATTTGTAGTTCTTTCCAGTCACAATCTTATTATTTTATTACCTTTTTAGCTAAAAAAAAACTATTACGCTAGCTGAGGATTCCAAGAACCTGGAAGCATGTAGCAATAAGTCCATTCATAAAATCACATGTTATCAATAACTTGCAATTATATAGAGGCCTTTTTAGGGATAGGTTGGTTGCCAATCGAGGGAGGAAGGGCCACAAGGGAAAACCTAATTACATGGACATAATAATAATAATCCTTACATTTGATATAGCGCTTTATCACGTCTTTGCGACGTCTTAAAGCGCTTCACAGAATATACTGTAAAGTGAATTGACTATGTATTTTGTGGGCGAAACCCGACAGCCAATCGCGCACAGCAGCGTCCCATAAACAGTTGTGGATTGAGTGACCAAATTATTACTTTAAAAAAAATGATATTTTGTGGGTAAATTGCACACGGCAGTGTCCCACAAACCGTAGTGGATTGAAGTGACCGATTTATTATTTTTTGATGGAATTATTAGCCCCCCACCAACAACTGGGCTCCTACTTACTGCTGGTGGTAAAC